AAAAAAAAAAAAAAAAAAAAAAAAAAAAATTAATTGCATCTGGCTTTTCAGTTTAATTATGAAAATTTAAAGTTATGAAACATTCTTTTGGTAATGAATGTTCTTTGCTTGTTTTTTAATTATAGTGTTCATTTCCACCATCATGGTTTTTACCTTATAGACTGAAGGTATAGACAATACTATTACTAGGACAATTTTTCAATCTTTGTTTGCCCCTTACCTGTATTGGTGATGCTGCATTTATTTTTGCCCTTCAGAGGTCTTTAAAATCTCTCTCTCTCTCTCTCTCCCCCCCCGTGTGTGTGTGTGTGTGTGTGTGTGTGTGTGTGTGCGCTTGTGTGGTTGCTGTTAATCTCTTCCACTCTGACTCCTGGTTTCTCGTTACCCCTAGAAAGACATTCCCATATCAAGATTATATGAGTATCTCTCTACATTTTTCCATTGCTTTTATGGTTGCTTGATTTTTTTTGTTGTTGTTGGTGTCTGAATTCCAAATGTCAAAAACTAGTTCTTTATTCATTTATAAGGTGTTTTGTAGTTTAAGTTGCAATAGAAATGCTGAAGACCACTGACTTTATATTCCCCCACCTGCGCCCCCCACCCCCAGTATAGAAGAAGTGCACTGCAGAGCATCCGCAAAGTTACATTCAGGGGAATTGATATTTCTTAAGTGTTTGCTGCTTCGTCTCCAAAAATGTGCCTACGTAAGATACTATTGTTTAAGCCTCTGTGTTCTTTTAACCATAGAACTGGTAATCGAGACTGCTGGTAATTTATGACCACAACTGTAAGCTTAGATGAAAGAGCTAACGAGGAGTATTTTCCTTCCTCTTCTAGATTTTATAGGAAGACAAAACTTGTTGGCTTTCAAGACATGGAGTGTGTGCCTTGTGGAGACCCTCCCCCTCCTTACGAACCACACTGTGAGTAAATGCGACACAGGCAGAGCCAAGGGCACACCCGGCCTTTTGAAAAAGTTTAAATTTGTAAACCTTTCTTCACTGGCCAATGGAGCCAAATCCATCTCTCCTGTGGGGTGTACAGCGTGTCCTGTTTTATCAGGCTTTTAGCAGGACAGAAGGCCCCTTTGTTGTATGCCTCAGTCAGCACTGGGCCCAGGGATTTGAATCTCAGAGTGTAGTGCAAGACATTTTGCCACCGCTCTGCTGCTTTTGAAGCCTTCCCTTGCATCATGGGTCTGTAATTCAGGTGACTGTGATTAACCAGGCAGCATACTCATAGGTCTTCATGCCCTGGCCCCATACATCCTGGATTTTCCTTTCCTAGTCCCCAGACTGGATCATGTGGTGGCATCTCTGCCTTCTCAGAACAGTTCTCTCTGTGAGTCTCCTGCCCTCACTGTGTGTCACTAAATGGAACATAGTTCACTTCATCCATTCCTTCTTTTCTCTCCTTCAGCAAATAAATGAGGAAAGAGAACTCATTGCGTGCTGGGGATACAACTGTACATGAGAAAATTCTGGTTTTTCCTCTTTATGTTACCATTAGTTACTCCTTTTGACTATATATTTTGCATAGATATAAAAGCATCAATTTTGAACAGGAAGAAGAGTGGCTTCTCACTCTTTTTAATCCTAAATACAAACCTGGTCAATGAAAACCCACAGGAAGGATACCAGTGAGCAGCGCCCACGTTGCAGGTCACGCTTGTCTATGCCACAGCAGGGCTCAGGTGAGCTGCACTTCACCGTGCACGGGACAGTGAAGGGCAGGCAGGAGGACGGAGGAGGCTGCTTTATCTCACACACAGGTCGCTCATGCCTTTCTGGGGAACATTGTTTTGATGTCATTTCTAATGAATGGGCTCTGTCCTCTTGCTTCTTGCTATGATAAAATCCCCTCTGAACTAATTGAAAGCCAGTGCATCATTTGATAAGGTCACATAGTTCTTCTCTTTCCAAAAGTGTCATGGAATTTTGCAGTCCATATTAGTATGTCCTTTACCAAAATGCATTACTTTCTATTCTTCATTGGAAATGATAGAAAAGCAAAAGAAATTGGAAGACTTACTTTCTTTCCTTCCTTCCTTCCTTTCTTTTCTTTCCTTCTTTCTTTCCGTGGACTCTCACTCTGTCGCCAGGCTGGAGTGCAGTAGCCCGATCTCGGCTCACTGCAACCTCCACCTCCTGGGTTCAAGCGATTCTCCTGCCTCAGCCTCCCGAGTAGCTGAGACTACAGGCGTGTGCCACCACACCCGGCTAATTTTTGTATTTTTACTAGAGACGGGGTTTCACCATCTTGGCCAGGATGGTCTTGATCTCTTGACCTTGTGATCCCCCCTCCTCAGCCTCCCAAAGTGCTGGGATTTACAGGATTGAGCCATCATGCCCAGCCGACTTTCTAACTTTTATAGAAAATGTATATTGATCTTTGTTTTTATAATAGGTAAACGTTCACCAAATAATTCATTGCAAATAAAAAATGCAATATTGAATGCCTGTTATCAGTCACAATGCGTGTGCTTTACTTATTTTGTTTTACTTACTTTTCTCAATAATCCTACGATCAGTCCAGATTTTTCAATGAGAACACTAGTGCAGAGAGGTTAGTCCTGTTACGTTGTTGGCTGCTAAATGCCAGAGACAGAATATCAGTTCCCCTAACTAAGTCTTTCTGCCACAATCTTCAGTCTCCCTAAGCTCCCTAAGAAAAACCAAGCTATCTAATCTGTCCGACACATTGACTCTTTCTCGTGTTGTTTGTTTAAATATTCATCACTTAAAAAAAAAAAAACGCTAAAAATCTAACATGTAAGAGACACTGGAAGAGTGTCTTTATGCGACTCCACAACCCATCGAAGGACAAGTTCTCTTGCCAGTTTAACGTGCAGTGACCTGGTCTCACCCGTGGGTCAGCCCAGCCATCATTCTCTCAGAAAGGAGAGTTAAAATCACGCACTGCAGCGCAGACAGCTGCACAGAGATTCCGCGAAGTCAGTATTGCCACTTTAGAGTCAGAAAGTCTTAGGGTTTTTTTCCCCTTTAATTTATTGAATTTAAATTTAATACAATCAAGTCAAAACTCTGAAGCTTTGGGATTTTCTGCCTTCGGGGTTCTGGCTAAGCTCAGCTATCACAAATTTGCTTTTGAAAGTAGATCTCACATGTAACTTTTAGTGTCTTATAAAATCATTAGTAATTTAGTGTTGTGTGAAGTCCTTAACATTTTTTTTAAAAATTTACCAGTATATATATGTGTGTGTGTTTCTTCACATATGAAATTTTTTAGAAAGCAAGGAAAAATAAGCTATTTGTCAAAGTAAGAAATGCAGTGTGCACAGCTGATAGCCTTTCAAATCCCAAAGCAAGACAGGCTGGTAGTCTTCAGTGAGCATGAGTCCTTATCTCTGTAAAACAAAATTTGCTGCCTTTGGCACAGTTCTTGGCGATCATTCCAGAACACAACTAATCTCCTCAAAAGAGATTTTGAAGGCTTTTGGGAAAATTATGTAAGGCGCCTTGTGTTTTCATTTCTTCTACTGTGGGCTTTTTAAACTCGTCCACAAAGAGCTACTGCTTCAGTGATTTTTTTATCCCTTCGAGGAGTTCCTGTGCTAGACTCTCAACTAAAAGAAAGTGACACCTCTTAAGGTAACTTAAGGAATGGGGTTTGTTTCAAGGACATGCCTTGTAGTGGGAGAGGCAGGAACTCTCTGTCAACCAGGAATAGCCCTCCCTCGGGGTCCCAGTGGCTCGGAGTCTGGGGGCACACTGCACCTCTGCAGAATGAGACCCTATGTGCTGCATGCTCTACAGCTGCTCTCTGTGCCTGCAGGCTTGCCTGTCTGTCCTAATCTAATGGGTCTCTTGGCTCTGCATTTTCCCATTTCTGTCAGGTGCCCCAGGACCACCCCAGTGCCACACCAGTCTGTGGCTGGTGACCTGAGCTCACCTCCCGGAGGGCTAGGTCTTCCCTTGTGACATGGAGTGGTACCTGCCTGCTAAGGAACAGACCCGGCCACCTGCTGTGGTTGTGTTGCCAGAAGTGTTGGATTCACATCTTGGCTGTGCTTCGTACTGATGGTGTAACCTTAGGCAAATCATCTCCCCCACTTTGAACCTCTGTTTACTCTGGAAAATGCCCAGGTCTGCAGATTTTGGATAGAACTAAATGAACCAGTGTCCAGCAACATGATACCTACCCCTGGGGCAAGCCCTGTAATGACTGTCTACCTGCTGGCCTGCCTTTTTCAAACCATGACCCTGCCTGCCCTCAGCCGTGCCCTGGCCCGGATGTGCTCTTCAGAGGGTCTGCCGCTTTGGAGTCGTCTCGGACAGGGAGGATCTCATGGTGCCTCTGGCTCTGATGTTTGTCTTGCTGGGGCTTCACCTCCCCTGGTGGGTGAGCACTGAAGGGTACCAGAAAGGGGGTGCCATGGAGTTTTATGCCTGAGAAGCTCAGATGGGGGCTGGGTGCAGTGGCTCATGCCTGTAATTATAGCACTTTGGGAGGCTGAGGTGGGAGGATCACTTGAACCCAGGAGTTCAAGACCAGCCTGGGCAACATAGTGAGACACCTTTTCCACAAAAAAATAAAAAATTAGCTAGGGATGGTGGCGTGTAGCTTTGGTTCTAGCTACTTGGGAGGCTGGGGTGGGAGGAGTGCTTGAGCCCAGGAGGTTGAGGCAGAAGTGAGCTGTGATTGTGCCACTACACTCCAGCCTGAACGACAGAGTGAGACCCTGTCTCAAATAATAATAATAATAATAAAAAGTAAAAAAGAAGCTCGGATGGCTAGACTGAAGGCTGAAGAGACCCGAGTTAGGCCAGTCTCTTTCCTCTGCAGCTTGATCTGAGGCCTCCAGCCCCACCCCTACCAGATGATCTCTAAGCCCCGCCTCCCCAATAACAATGGATTTGTGATGATAATCAGTTAATCCTCCCATAGCCCCTCTGTCTGTGCACTAATAGCATTAATGTGTGATACTGACTGGTTGAGCATGGAGCTCAGGATTGATGAGTGACATGCCTGTAAATTGCAGATAAATAAAAGACACCCATTACATAGAAATGCCTGCTGCAGGCTTTGTTCCCCCAAGTAACTTCAGTTCCTAATCACCTGTGCCCACTTAGAACTTCAAGGAGAAGTAGAAAAAAACACAAAGTTTAGAACTGTATCCTGGCTTCAGTCTGATAAGAAATACAGATTTAGTATGATTTCTTTTAGCAATGTTTATTTTATTTGGAACAAATACTGTGGTTGGAACAAATGGTTTTGAAAAAATTCAAAGCGGTTTTCACCAGAGTACAACTTTATTTAAGTATGTTTAACCTAGATGTTTGCTTTGTTCTCTGGGGCTTTGTAAGACAAGCCACGTGATTTCTGGAGAGATAAGGGGTCAGATAAATCACCGCGTGGGGGAAAAGAAAGCCTGAGCTGGGCTGACCGGCAACTCTTAGGAAATGTTGTGGCTCCATAGTCTTAAAAGACAGCAAGCAGTCGTTTGCACCAATAAGTAATAAGTCACATTATTAAAAGTTTATTATTTTCCAAAGGAAGTTTACAATATATTTTACATAACAAAGGTAATTTCAAAATAAACTTTTAAAAGAAGTATTTCCTCATTAAAGATAATTTTTAACATTTAGTAGAAAAAAGTGAGAGGTGCCAGGGGACCCCTGTAGACCCCTAAACAAAGCATTCTCAGCATTGATCATTACAAAACCAAAGACAGCATTCTAAGGGTCTTCTTTTCAGCCTTTTTTTCTATCTATGCTTCTGATTTTGAAAAGATAGACGTAATTACACTGTACATGCTATTTTGGATTCCTTTGCCTCTTCAGATATACTTTTTTCATATAATGACTTGTTAGGGTAAAGTGTCACACAGGTACGTGGCTTTCAGTTGGACTTCTAAGGCTGTTCCTATTCCACATGATACTGCCATCCCCTTCTGTGTGGG